ATTTGCCTTTGGCCATGACTCTTTGATTTGCCTCTAGAGCAAAGAAGAGCAAAGTGTTCTGCTCTCTGTGTCAGTCCTTTTAAATACTTTGAAAGCAGCTGATCTGCCTTCTTTGAGTTCTCCATTTCCCTCATAAAACCACCTCAGCACCATCAGTATGACATAGTTTCTGGATCCTTCCTGATGGTTCCCTTCTAAATTGTCTCTCCTTTGTCAGTGTCCCTATTTTATTGTGGTACTCAGTGAAGTGTACATTTCACAACATAACAAGTGTGGCTTTGCTGGACAATTTAGCAGATCTTATAAAGACTTGGGGTTTTCTTTCTTAATTAGGTTAAGTGAGAGATAATTGTGTCATTAAACATTTTACAATGTGCTGACATATTAGTTAAGTTTTCAGTGATGTTACGTGAAGATTTACACCATCTCTGCAAATTAAATCTATTCTACATGATTCACTTGATGCAGAGTTGTTGGATGCAACGAGTCGTTGGAAAAACAGTAAAAATTGTTTTACTTATTTAATATTGTTTCAAAACAAGTAAAAATATAGATCACACTTTGTTTAGCTTTTTTGATTATTCAGATATAATTTTAATGTCTCATGTAATGAAAAACTATTGTTAATCTATATGTTTTCCCTAATTTAGTATCTACCTTGTCTTATTTAACTTTTACTGGTATCCTAAATTGGGGGATTTTTCTAAGAATGGAACACTATTATAAACACTATCAAAGTGAAATTTTCTAGATGCAAATTTAAACTAATACTGTATACATATAAGGTTTTAGTCCTGTGGAATTTATTACTGGATATTGCCATTAGGCTTATCAATAAATACACAAATGATTCTTATGAATGGATTTATTGTTTTTGCCAGCAAATTAAATAAATTCTACTGACTTTTCTTACAAACAAGAGCAAATAATTTTATTAATGTTTCTCAGAGTCAGAGGTGAATTTATTTAACGGTTTAATGTTTTGATATTTTTTTAAGATATTAAACTACGGTCGTGCTTAAAATAATTCCTTCTACCACTGACCCCCAAATAAATCTTAGTGATTGTCATATTGCTACTAATCTTATGCTTTCAGATGAATGCACTTAATATTCTTACTTGCAAGGTGAAATCTTACATGAAATATAGGTGGCTCGGTATGTACTAGAGTGGTTTATGTTAATTACCACTTGGTTCTGTTCTATTGGATCTTCCAGTTCAGTTGCACTAAGACCGTCCAAGCAAAGGAGCATTCAGATATAAGTATGCATATTTGTTTGTAATGCCTTTATTTAAAATATGTAGAGCTGTGTTTATAGAGTTACTGAGGCATATAGATTTAGGAATAAAGATGAATAATGTACTTTTATTATATTGGTTTCTACCTGTGAACATTTTTAAAACTTCATGCATTGTATTTTTGGACTATTATCTTCTGATCAGGGTTAGAAAATTCTATTTTTGTAAGATAAATCTCACTATAGATTAACCTGTCAAGACAGACTATAGAGAGGAAGTCATGATTTCAGAAAATAATTTACATTTTAAAGTAATTTAATTATATCTTAAAACTTAAAGAAAGACATACCCTTATGACAGGATATAATGAAGAATACATGATAGTAAGAATACAAGATTATATTATAAAATATATAAGTAAATATTCTGTGATTGCTTCAAAGCCCAAGGCAGATGTGAAGAAGAGCTAGATAGTAGGGTATGGAGGAAATCTACAAGATTTTCTTTTTGATCTCGGTTCTGTCACCATTAGCAGGGTTTAGATAAGGTCCAGCCTATTTTGGCTGCAGTTTGCTCATCTCTGAAAGGCAAGAGTTGAACTTCAGTTATCTCTCATGGGCTTTCCAGTTCTAAAATTCTGTCATTTAAGGAAGGAGCCATAATGAGCTTACAAATGATTTGCATCTGTTAGTATACTGGTTTGACTCTTCATTTCAAATGATTTTTTCTAAAGCTATTTTGAAACTTTATTAAGAGAACCTTCCTCTCCATTTTGATATAAAGTTGGTCTCTTGCAGAGAAGCATATCAACTGTTAAGTGCAAAAACCATAGCTTAAAGCAAAGATGAAATTCTAACAAGCCAGAATCTCCTGAAATGATCTAGCCCAATGGATTTCCTGGTTTTGATTTTGTGATGATTTAACCTTCCTGTAAACAAAATCAGCAAGAGCCATCCTTTATGATCTGATTAAAAAACGAGTATTAAAAAAATAATTTTGCTAGGATGTTTTTTTAAAAAAATAATTTTGCTAGGATGTTTTTTAAAGGATCAACTCTAAAAACGTTTGATTGCATGATTGTGCAACAATCCAGAAGAAAACCGGACATTGATGGTAGTATTTTTCTTTCCCTCTCATTGTCTTGTTACAGAATAATGGTTGGATTTAACCTTTTTCTTTTTCCATAGTTACACAACTTTTGAATATGAGCTCCAGAAATGACAGTTCTGATCAGTATTATTCACAAATGATAAGAAGCGTTTGGATAGGTACAGTGGGGGAAAGATAACCATTTTACACTAAAAGAAAAGGTACATAAAGGAAAAAAGACACAAATATGGAAAGCTACAACTGTGGTTTTTTTCTCTGTATACATGCTAAAGATTTCATTTATAATTTTACTGAAAAATCTTAAAGCTAAATAACATTCCTTAGAAGCAGGTATGTTCAAACATACATACACATAAATATGTGCATTATTGAGATACAGTTGTGGGAATCGTCATGGCTTGCCCTCAAATCTTTACTCTCCTTGGTTGGTGTGATAATCTTAACTTTAAAATAGATGTGTTTTTGTTGAAAATTTATAAACTGTAGAAACGCTTATTAAAGACTCATTTTTTTAGCATGTGTTAAGGGGGGGTTCTTATTTTCTGACTAACATTTCAGTATTTTTAATTATGATAAACCATGTAACACAGACTCATGAATTTTGGGGCAGTGGAAATTATTTCCTTTGACTCTTTTTTCTGCATATCATCAATTTGCTTTTTACTCATGTTTCTTCTACTGTCGCTGTAAGCTTACTTGTTGTTTTTTCTTTCCTTTTCTTCATGCTGTCGTTTAGAGCCCTACAGAGAGACAAGTATGGGAGTAAAGCTAAACATTGCATATCAAATGTAATTTTTTTTAGTTCACTTTTATTGCATCACATATAGATGATGTAGTTATTAAAAACAGTTCATCTCACAATTTAAAAACTAAAGAGCCTATGAATCAACTTATATAAATTTACGTTAATAGAGATTAGACGCTTTTGTTGTCTGATTCTTTTATTGTGTCACATAATCAACATAGTTGTTAAGTCTCATGTAATGTTTGTGTGAGTTAAATTGTTTTTAAATTAAGCATTTATTTTTGCTAAGTAATTCATAAACTTTTAATTTTGATTAGTACATTCCATCATACACATATATGTCACATGCAGCATATCTACTTTATTTTACTCTGGCTGTTTCTGACCTGTACCTAATGCATTGACAACAGAAGTAATACACATGTTTCAATGCATCAGTCACTCAACCATAACCATCATGCATACCATGGCAGCCTTCACAGCAGCAATCACCCATCACATATGGCCCTTTAAAGAGCATTTACTTTTATTTTTCTTAACATTGTGGATTTGTCTACAAGATATCTTATAACATGAAAATAAATCGCTTCACCCTATGTCTGTGATGGCTGCTTTTTGATGAATTTTATACATTGCTGTCTGTAGAAACTGTTACTTGACTACGGAGTATGCAGCAAAAGTCCATATAAAAATCGATACATTTGGGACACTTTATTTAAACCAGCAATGAAGGATTTTGATAAACATAACTGCATCACAGATATAGAATGAATGTTATATTTTCACAAGTTAGCAGTGTATTGAGAAGTTGAATAGAATTCTTCAATTAATTGTTCTATAAAGAAATATCCTTTCTTATGAGTATTGGTTAAATATTTGTGTTTTATTTTCTTTCATGGTTGCATTTGAACTGATTTTGGAACTATTATAGATTCTTGGATTTCTGTTCATTCAAGAGAATGCAAAAACCTTGAAGAAGCATGTGGTTAAATTTTATTTCACTGCAGCTATTACTTCTTCCCAGAATAAAATGTTTAATCTCTTTTAAACTCAAAGTTTAATATGCACACAAAGTCATCACTCATTATGGCATGGAATCTTTAATACTGACACTATATTTTTAGGAAATCAGATACCTGTGTCTTACACATTCTTTTGTAGTATTACCTAATGACCCTAAACAATCACTAATGGGTTAATATTGTAGAAAATAATATTAGATACTAAATCTAAATATTTTTGTTTTGAAAGTTCCTCAATGCAAATTATTTTGATGCCATTTATTTGACTAAGCATTATTTCATTATTACATCATTTTGACAAACAACATAATCCTTTTGTGGTTTTGTATGTAGGAATTATTTTTGATCTTGCAAAATTATATATCAAATTGTTAGAAACTACTTGATTCGTTTATTTTGACCAGAATATTCAAAGTACCACACATGAATTATGTTAATATTATTCCTATTTTAATGTTAAAAAACATGTAAAATTAAAGGTAATGAATTATTAAATTGACTTTGATGTGTATAAATTGAAAGCTGTGAATGCTTACACCAAAATTTTGTGGGGATTTTTTCCTAAGTTATACCCAAATATGCTTCAAATAGTATCAGGCAATGTTTGTGTGGAAACTGCAAATTTATAGGTTTTTTAAATCATTATTTTAAAGATTTAGATGCTTTTCCATTTATAAAGTTTCTATCAATTGTCCAAGTGTATATATAGATGTGTACATATAGACTTAATAGTATTTTTGTGTGTTTCCAAACATTTTATAATTAATTAAACATGGTAGCAATTTACACATACTTCATAGTTGGATGTTTCTGCTTCTGTGTTTGTGTCTGTGTTCCATGGCCAATTGGATGTAAATGTCATAGTGTTTTGTAATCTTTTTCAGAGGGGCTTCTGAACAATGCCAGGGATACAAGTGTCATGGATACTCTACCACTGAATGGTAACCATGGCAATAGTTACAGCATTGCCAGTGGCGAATACCTGAGCAACTGTGTGCAAATCATAGACCGTGGCTATAACCACAACGAGACCGCCCTAGAGAAAAAGATTCTGAAGGAACTCACTTCCAACTACATCCCGTCTTACCTGAACAACCACGAGCGCTCCAGTGAACAGAACAGGAATCTGATGAACAAGCTGGTGAATAACCTTGGCAGTGGGAGTGAAGATGATGCCATTGTCCTGGATGACGCCACCTCCTTTAACCATGAGGAGAGTTTGGGCCTGGAACTCATTCATGAAGAATCTGATGCTCCTTTGCTTCCCCCAAGAGTCTACTCCACAGAGAACCACCAGCCACACCATTACACCAGAAGGCGGCTCCCCCAAGACCACAGTGAGAGTTTTTTCCCTTTGCTAACCAACGAGCACACAGAAGATCTCCAGTCACCCCATAGGGACTCTCTGTACACCAGCATGCCGGCACTGGCTGGTGTGCCTGCCACAGAGAGCGTTACCACCAGCACCCAGACCGAACCCCCACCGGCCAAATGTGGTGATGCCGAAGATGTTTACTACAAAAGCATGCCAAACCTAGGCTCCAGAAATCACGTCCATCAGCTGCACACCTACTATCAGCTAGGTCGCGGTAGCAGTGATGGATTTATAGTTCCTCCAAACAAAGATGGGACCCCTCCAGAGGGAAGTTCAAAAGGACCAGCTCATTTGGTCACTAGTCTATAGAAGGTGACAGAAATTTAAACCAACAAAACTGCTAACACCTGGTTGACTGTTCTGAGTTGATATAAGCAGTGGTAATAATGTGTGTACTCCTGAATCTTTATGCTGTTCTTGAAAGACAAACACAAACTTTCAGACATTTTTTTTTTAAACTGGGATTTTTAGGTCAGCCCAGGGGAGAAAGATAACTGCTGAAATTCCCCTGTGCCCTCTCCTTTCCTCTCTTTCCCCCCTCAGATGGAGACTTCATTATGTTAATGAACGAGATATGAAGAAAATGGCGCTCATTGTGGCCTTGTTGAATTATGTTGCGTTTGTTCTAACATCTCTGATGCTCAGTTACTATAATTACAAGGACCTGATTTTTAAAAGGCCAGAACGGTTGTTTGAAATTAGTAACAATGCTGCATCTAGATTGGAGTGCTGCACAAACAAGCATAAAAACAAAGCAAAACTGTATCACATAGTTGGTTTTAGTCACTCACAACCTGAATTTGCCACAGCGGGAATAGCTGTGGAATACAAAATAAAACAACAAATTAATAATGAAATGGAGGGGAATTCTAGAATTATATGCTAAACGCATATTTTATGATTTGCTGTATTAACTGATGATAAAACTAATGGCAGAAAAAAATTGAACAATTTCTATGTAATGTACAGATACTAGCATTGCACATATAGTCAGCTTTCTGTTCCTCCAGAATTTGAGTCCTGTTAATGTAGTGGAAAAAAAGAGATATTTTTTCTTTTTCTTTCGTGCTGGTTTTGCAAGTTTGTCTACCAGTAAGAGAGCAAAGTTTCCTTCCTTTCTTCTTTCTTTTCTTTTTTCCTTCATTTTTCTTTGCTTTTTCCTCCTTTTTTTTCTTTCTTCTTCTTTTCTTTCCTTTCTTTGTTCCTTTTGTTCTTTAAAATTTCACCTGGCAAAAAATAAATAAATAAATAAATAAATGAAACTATCACTTTATAAGAATCATTTTCTAGTAATGCAAACAAATTATTTTTTACAAAAAAAATAAAATAAATAAAATTAGACTTCCTTCCCTCACTATATATCTTTATTCAGTCAGAATATTTCCAAGAGCATTTTTGCAAATTAGAGCAGGATGAACTTTTATGTTTACAGTACACATCTGTTGTAATGCAAAGCATATTTGGCAAGCAGTTCATCACCAAGACAGTAGCTATGATTCTAGACGTCAGGAGGTGTCAATAGAACTAGTGGGCTTCTGCATGTGAAAAAACGGTATCCCATAGGCGTTAAAGTGCTGAATGCTCAGTCTGATCCCCAAGTGGGCACCCGCACTACCAAGTTTTAAAGGAAATTCTCTCCCTTGTAGGACGAAATGAAAGGTCAAGTTATTTTGAAGTGATTTTTTTTTAAACTCTTCTGTTTATTAACAGGAAAATTTATTTATTTGACCAGATTTTAAGTAATGTAGGATTACAAGAGGTAAATTAGCAGCACATATAATTTTTTTTTAAATTTATGATCCATTTTGTATGGTCTCAAAGTTGGATGACCTCATTACTAATATTTGTTGTAAAAGTGAATCTTGTTTGCCAACCAATAAACAACTGATTGAGATTTAGAAGATATTGTTTTGATGTATGTACTATATGATGAATTATTCTTTTCATTTTTCTCGTCTTTCTTTCTGTTTTCGTTATATATACTTTGCTAACCCTCTATGGCCCAAATGAGCCATGCAGTAGAAATCAGATCTGCCTAGATGAATAACCTAAGCACAAAATTTTACCGTTTTTGCAGACAAAGTAAGTAAACCAAAAAAAATGGGATGGGTATGTTTATTGAATGAAATAAGATGTATCACTTACTATTAACCAGGTTAATATCAGTTACTATGTGATTATTTTATAAAGCAGCAGCCACTCTGCTTACTATAAAAATCAACTTCAATCAGAGATTTAAGTATTAAATTGAAGGAGGGGGGTGAATCATATATTTTCCTTTTCTGTAAGTTCCATGTTGATGTTAGAAATTTAAAGTCATTCAGTTGGCTAAAAGCTGCCAGTTTAATGGCAAAGAGACTATCATTTTATAAAGATAGTAGAAGACATTTTTATGCTAATTTTTCTGCCCCATATATGAAAAAAAGTCCTTTTAAAGAATCTTTCTAGATCTCCAGTTACTGAAGAACCTTTACCAGCGGTGTCCAAGCATGGAGTCCCTTCTAGAGCAAAGCTAGAATGAATTTCCCAAATTATAATTTATCTTGTAATGTAGATATTTTGGTGACTTCTTTTCTTTTCTTTTTTCTCCCAAATCTGAATACCACCTACATAGAAATTAATTTCTTAAATTAAAATGAGAAGAATAGTTTATGGAATAGCCAGTAATTTCTATACAGTTTAATAATATATGACAAAGGAAAGAATTCTGTGCTGGGCCAGAGTACATTATACTCTTAATATTCACCTCAGAATATCTTATGCATCTTGCCTTTTTAGTCCCTTAACATGAGTAATTTTTAAACCTCTAGAATTGTTTTTAAGTTGCAGGAGAACCACAAGCTTTAACAGTAATTAAGTTCTCTCATCCCACACTATGGCAATATAGCACCTGAAAGGTGGTTAGCCTATCTGTTACATAGAATACATTTGGTAATGAAAGAGCCCCTTTTAGACAACTTGTCTAAAGTTGGCCTGTGGATTATGAGCGCTTATGCTCGTTTCACCAATTCAGCAGGAATCTATATGAAAGCAGCTCATCAGTAAGAAGCTAGTTTCACAGAACAATGGGGAAACTACCTCAATTCAGCTTGCTGAGGCTGCCAATTCTGATTTTCTGATATTGCTACCTCCCTGCCCGCTATCTTTTATGTGACATTGCATGGAATCTGAAACAGGTAGCCTCCCCAGCTTTACACAGACCAAGTTGAAGAAAATCACTTGAATACATACCTGGTGCAGAAGGCCATTTAGAACTATAAATTACTAGCAAGCTCTTGCATCAAGATGAAAGGCTGAGATGTTTGAATTTGAATACATCAATAATTGATGTGCTATCAGAGAGACTTAAGATCCCAAAGACTTTTACAGAAAGACTTGTTCCCCCAAGTTTTATGTGACTCTAGTGAAACAAAACAGTAGATAAAGGAGCTAATTATGTGTACATTTCAATAGAAATTTGTGTATATCTAACATGTATTCATTTAGTCCTTATTACACGAGCAAGGATTGAGTTCTTGAACCTGACTTTTTTTACATGTATCTTCATGCATAGCTAATGATAAATTAATAATTTTAAAAATTTTTGTTGTTTTTTTACCATCTTTGGTTGACTATATTTCAATACCTTGTGCCATTCATTACTTAACTTATCTGCCTACTTCTGATATGCTTATCTGATTTTCTATTAAAAAGTGAATTTTCATCAAGCAGGAAGGTTGTACATACATAGCACATTATTTGGATAGCTGGAAGTAAAAGTTATGCCAATAAAACAAACCAATTATTGTTTCCTAGCAAAATAATATTTTTATAATATTTTACTCTTGAGCCTTTTTTTTTTTCTTTTTGAGGTCTATTTCCCAAGGTACTTTGCAGGACACTAGCTCATATTGTTGATTCACAGACCATTGGATTGTTGCACAGCTCAAGTTCCTAACTGATAATATTTATGGAGAAAACTACATTTTGTGAAGGAGAAATAGATTTGAATTTCAATTAAGTTTTTGAACATTCCTCCAGTTACACTCTATTAAAATTAAAAAATACTACAGTTGAATAACAAATTGTCATGCTTAGATCATCATAATGAGAAAAAAGAACTTGCATGAGAACAATTATGTTGAAGTGAAAATAATCAGGAAACTGTATTATTAAAATTCAGATATGGAAATACCCTTAACTTCCTATCAGGCAAATTCACAAAGACTCTAAATTAAAGTGTAGTTTATGATCTATATGTTTTAAATCCCCATTAACCTAAAAATGTCGACATGTTGATAAAAGATTTATAAGGTTATGCATTTTTTAAAAAAATTAATTTGGTGTGAAGAAACTTTTCACGGTAATAGAGATAAACATATAAGAGAATTAGTAATAGTCATATAGAACCCATGGACTTAATTTTAGCCAATATTTTCAGCTTCCCCCCCCCAACATGTTCCAATCCATTGACAGAGGTTTATTTACTTCATTTAAAAAATGACATTAAACATTTTTAAAGACTGACTTTCTGCATTATATACACCCAAAGGGAAAGAAAAACCAGTTTCTGGGTTGTCTAAAGATCAGCTCCAAACTAATCAATAATCAGCTCCTATTAGTGAAAGAATCATTTGTTTTCAAAGTTGTGCATTAGTACTGCACCAAAGTGCTACTGCTTGAGTTGTTTTTGGAAAAAACAAAAAACACTACAGAACTACTATATTACTGCAGATTTAGAAACAGAAACAAACCCAAACTCTAATTTGATTTTGAGCAATTCTAAAAACATTGACAAGAATGTCATTTCTTCTCTAATAAAAGTATTTGAGATAAAATAACAATATGTATGATCTTCCTAGTATATTGTAGTACCAAGATATTAAGATTTAATGAGTTCATGTTTAGTGGTTCATAATTATAACTCACAACGTAATTACTATGCATTTCTAAAAATACTTTACATATATCTTGTTAGATTTCTGCACATTCATAAATTAGTGAGGAACATGGAAGCACACGAGTGAAACAGCAACATTACAAAATAGCTTATGGAAGCATTTTTGTGCAAATGAATTCTACGTGGAAAGCTTTTTTGAGCTCATAAAATAGATTTGATGGATCCCAACCATAAATTCAGTTTTGTAATCAGCAAATACATACTTCTGAAACCATCTGAAAAATATTGATAAATATCTAAATTTTCATTTCTAATTTTTAAAATGTTGGTAACTGCTTCTTTCCTGCTTAGGCCATAAGAGGAATCTTCCTATTTACTAATTAACCTGATTACTTTCTGCTTCCCTCTTGCTTTAAAAGGGAAATCAATCTTTAACTTTCACCTATACACATACTTACATACTTTGATTCCTTTTTATTTACAGCTTGCAGAGGAAAGAGCTTATTTACAATATTGCAAACTTTGCAATTTTTGCCATAAAACAGGTAGATACTATGGTTTTGCATATTTTCATTTTCAATAGAGTTCTTGCCCTACCCTCTCCAAAAAATTAAAAGCACGTCTTCAATATCCAGGACCTTTAGGTCATTACTCAAATGTCTTCATTTCAACTATATTTTGACATTTCTTTCTCTTGGTAGTATGTCACACAAACTTTTCTCATTTAACCTGTTTACCATTAGAGTACTTCAAAGATAAAGGCAAACTCTAATTTTGAAGAAGGCATGTGAAAGGAGAACTTTGATTTATATGAAGAAGTCGAGGAAGACTACATAAGGAAAAACCTCTATTGGGATAACCAAGTCTTTTCAATCACAATATGAACAGAGGAAGGGCAGACCTTTCCAGTTAGAAAGAAAAAATAAATTCCAGGAATAAATATGAAATTGTTTAGAGTGGTAAATCCTTTAAATAGTGTACCAAATGCTACTGGTGTGTTAAACAAAAATTGAAGTATACCATATGATAATTGTATCCTGCTGTTTGCCCAGGAAACTCTCAACACTTTCAGCACTCCTTAGATATTTCTTGTCTAGCCACACCTTGTCTCAAGGACACATGAATATTTTATGAATGTTTCTTAAATAGAAGTATTTCTGCCTCAATTCGCTTTCACTCTCAAATCTGCTTACTCTATTGTATGCCAACACAGCTGATGCTACCAGTAGCTATATGTACTGTTTAGAGCTTTATTATGAATCTTTCTAATAAGCATTAATATTAAATTGGA